GCTTAGCAGAATGGACCAAGTACCTTTGAGAAGGCCAGTAATCTGCAGACACAATTTTCAAACTTCCAAGTGCCTGATAATGACAGAGAAAGAACCAATGTGGATGTAGCACCTCAAAAAGTAGTAAAGGAGGATGCCTCTGTAAACTTGCATGAGAACAGCAGCAGGTTATCATTTGGCCACCAAAATATTCCCCATGGACATGCTAATGTTCCCACCACTTCACATCCAGAGCCGAAAACTCCGGGTATGATGAGCTGTACGATTTCATGAAAGTTTTGCTTTAAGTCATTTTATTACTTGAAAATAGAATTGTGGGAAACTCGCATTGATATTCATACTAACAGAAGTTCCGTTTACAGGTAATGCAATGGAGGGGGCTGAAGCTGGACATGCGTATCCCGGGGAAGGGAATGTTGACTACATGGGCAGGCAAAACTGGCATATGGAATTCAAAGACGCAACCTCTGCTGCTCAAGCTGCTGCAGAATCAGCTGAACGGGCAAGCATGGCTGCCAGAGCTGCTGCACAACTTTCTAGCCGTGGGAGGGTTTCTATGCAATTCCCTACAGAGCCACAAAGGCCTTCTGCTCATGGTCCAATGGATCAACGGGCTGGAACATCTGCAGGCTCCAGTTTTCAAAATGAAGCCTTTGCTAAAGTCGCAGGTAATAAGGCTTCTGATGGAAGAAATGCTCAACCTCACACACCATATAAGCAGAATTACGCAAAAGAAGAGTGCGTTGGAGAAGTAGGTGAGGCGTTTTATGAAGATGCCCATATAAGCAACAACAGACCTAGCCAGTATGCTTCCACAAAGTCTAATATGGAGCCCATGGACAATAACTCATTTGCAAAGTCCTCTAGCTATGGTATAAACAATGTTAGGTCCGAAAGACACATCAGCTCACAATCGGAAGGTTCATTCTCTGACAGGGTTCCTGTCAATGATACTTTTGAGGCCAGAATTCCAAGCATGCACTGCAATCAACCTGATGTCCGAGACACTGATAGGCTTGCGGGGGTGAATGAAAGATTTTACAGAGAGAGTAATAGGAGAAGCGGCGAATCCAGCCGGTCTAATTCTAGGAAGTCTAGTGCAGATTTCAGTGGTGTTGACCCACTTGTGGATAACCATGAAATGGCAGGCAGAAATACCCAGAACAGCTCGTCTGGAGCTGAGCCTGGCAATGTATTGGATAAATCAAGTGGGACAAGAAACTCTTTTCGACCAGAGACTATTGGCACTTTAGATGAACTGAGTGAGAGAAGAAACTCTGGTGGATCTGAAGTGGAATCTGCTAATGACTTGCGGGATGATTTTATATTTGCTGAACATTCTACCCATGCTTCCTATCATTCTCATTCGTCACACTCAAGCACTTTTAGTGACAAGCGAGAGGTTATGAGTAATCGGAAGGAGGAGGATGATGTTGCAGAAAACCCCTTTGCTGATTTTGATGAAGAAAACTTCCAGAAAGATAACAAACCAACAATTGAAAGCACTGCGGTAGTTTTTGATGATTATGGTTCAGATGTTGATGACTATGGGTTTGATTTGGACAAAGGAGCAGAGCCCAGTGTGAAGACCTCACAACCAAGCTGGGATTCACCTAACCCTCCATCAGCAAGTATCAGTTCGCCAAGCCCCAAAAGGACCACAGTTGACACGTTCACAAAGATTACACCCCAATCAAGTTTCTCAACGAATCAGCACGTTCCTATCTTTTCTGGGGGTTTGGCTGATTCTTCAGTTCATTCACAAGCAGATGAACTTGAGCCTGTGACCTTTGATGAGTCAAATGGGCCAAGTTCAGATAGTGAGGAGGAACGGAGCAATCATAAGGAGGAGAGAGAATATTCCAGTTTTGGATCTCAGAAAAAGTTTGGATTTGGTGATTTACCTTCTAGTTCAGGGAAATCCTTGTTTAATTCAAAGAATAAAGGATTGGATACCTTTGATGATCCTGTAGATAAGAAGCACCAGAGTCAGCCCTTCGATGCTTATGAAGATGCTGTGGTTCATGAAGTTGGGGAAAGTGTTTCTGTATTTTCAGAACCCGGTATGCTACATGATTCTAAATCTTCACATGAAGATAGTTATGATAATGATTTGGGTTTGACATTTGGAAGATTGACTGGTGGTCTGAAAAATAAAGGTAATAGGCGTCCTTCATATTTGAGAAGCTCGGCAGGTGATGTTTCGTTATCTAAACAAACAGCTGAATACACTGCAAAGGAAACCTCCTCTTCTTTCCCACTTAATATATCAGCTGATCCTGTAGTTCAGCAAGATCCAGTGAGTGAGGAAGTGGGTTCTGAGTTTAAGAAGAGACCAACCAGGGGACCAGCTTTCACATCTTTTGGTTCTGGTAGTGATCAGATTCCAGAGAAAACCGTTCCGCAAGAGAATTCCAGAAGCCGTCGACAACAGCAGGTTCAGAAGACGGAGCAAGAAGTGGATGACACAATTACAAGAAGAGCAAGCACAAGGCCAGTGATCCCATCTCTTCGTCCTTATGGCGTTTATGGTTCAGAAAGGACTGACCAAGGCCAAATTTCGGACAGCCATTCGGAATCTTACTCTCAGCAAGAGTCTGAAGTGGATGAAAGATCAAGCTCCAGAGGTTCCAGTGCATCTCTTGAATTAAGAGAAGAACAACGTGGTTCAAGAACCCGCCGGGAACGATACATGGAGAAGATGCATCAGGAAGTGGATGACAACGTGACAAGAAGAGCAAGCACGAGGCCAGTAATCCCATCTCTGGGCTCTGATGGCATTTATGCTTCAGAGGGAACTGTGAAAGGACAGACTTATGACAGTGGTTCTGAACCTTATACTCGGGAGGAGTCCGAAGCAAATAAAAGATCAGGCTCCACTGGTTCATCCACAACCAGTAGAGAACGTATAGGTGCTGGGCTTTCTCGAAGGACTAAGGCCGGTGCTCCTAGTACTCAAAGAAATACCAACTTGAAGTCAACTTTTGCCTCTGATGAATCCGAACGTAGTGCAGAATCAAGATCCTCTCTGAGGAGCTCTTATCCAACTGAAACTTCAACGAGGCCTCACTCTGCGGCTGATGAAGCCTATAGTTTGAGAAGTTCTGAACATTCGAGGTACGGTAAGGAAGCAAAGGGTGAGCCCATTTCAGAAACCAAAAGATCATCTCGTGAGGACAGCTCGAAGTCTGCTGCAAAGGCACAACCTTCGTCTTCAATTTCAAAGAAAACTTCATCCAGTAAGTCAGGTATGAGTGAAGATAGTCCACAGTCTCCTGCAAGAGCGCAACCCTCGTTGCCCATAAAAAAGAAGGTTTCATCTACTAAGTCAGAGACGAGCGAAAGTTCTAAGGCTGCAACTCCGAGCTTGGAGTCTGCATCTAAGGAGGATTCCTTCAAACGAGCGAGTCACGTTCATCCTAAGCTTCCTGACTATGATACTTTTGCTGCCACTATGCAGTCGCTCCGAGCTAATCGACGGTAACTCTTCTGGTCTTTCTTTGTGGATATATACTACGTTCATGTCGGTCATTTTTGTGCATGGTTTTGATATTATTTACGTTCTGAGAGGGAGAGGAATAAACTTGGATTCTTATGTATTTGTGAGATAATACTCCGTCTTTGTGGGCTGGGTTGGGATATTGAGCTATTCTTTTATTTGATCACTTAATGAGTTGGAAGCATAATCGCGTGAATTTTCTTGGTCTTTTTCTTCATTAAACCGGAATTGCCTCGTTTCATTTGTTTCATCAGTCCTTCTCTCTTCTCCGTTCAGTAAGTTGAGACTTTAAAACGCGAGTGCGTTTGAGCAGCTAGAGATGGCTCGCGGCGGCACCTGCACTTGTTGTCCTATGATGCTGAACGGGAAACTCTCCGTTCACATCAGGCAGCAGGCTACAGCCTTCAGGGTTCTTGAGGGTGAGTGTATGGTCCGTTGTTTCGGGCGACCTGGTGCGGTTCTTCTCTGGAGATCTAGTCGAACTTCACATTGGAAGCTGTATGTAAACAAATTCGCGATACGAGCACTCGATACGTGCTAGGCGATGAGAGAGAGAGAGAGAGAGAGAGAAGCATACATCTACAGTCAATGCAGGTCCTGGAAAAGATTGTTGAATGTGTTGTGCATGAGACCTGCTAAGGAGTCGTGTGATGATCCATATCTAGAGATATTACTTGCACGACTCTGACAAAGAGAAAGTATTAAAAAAAAGCTCACAACTTTTCCAGAAAGTTGCACCAACAATAAACCCTTTTGATTAAATATAAAAAAAAAAATTTATATAATTTTTATAGATATAATTTTCTGGGACGCTTTTCTGGGGAAAAAGAAAACAGGAACGGTTTGGTAACAAAGTCAGGCTTGCTGACAATAATGTCTTTCAAGGTAGCGTGGTAAAACTGGCATAGCCAATCAATAGAAAGTTTGTGATTTGGACATTTTGGGCACGAAAAGACTGATTTGATAACGTTTCCTAATCCTGATAAGGTCCGTTTATTTGAAGGAAAATTATATTCGAAAAATTATTTTCCGACTTTTTGATGATCGGATGATATAGAGCTAATCGATCTACAGAAAATATTTTTCATGAAATGAAAATGATAAGTTTATATTGAGAAAAAACGATTTCTCTTTCTGGTAAGAAGAAAATCACTTTTACTCGATTACTAAATAAATGAAAACTAACAGTTTTCTTTACAAGTGATTTCAACGAAACAAACGCACTCTAACTATAAAATCACTGTTTTCGTAACTGATCCATCGAGTCACGTTGTCAAGTCTCTCGAGACGACACTTCTTAAATATACCCGATAGAGATTGATTCAATTTTTTTGAAATTTCTTATTACACCTATTTCCTATAAACAAGTTGGTTTCTCAAAAATTGGAAAAATTCATTTGTACTTGATAATTTTTCTGTTCTGTCGGGTGGACAATCTTGGCGTCTCGTTTTTTACTCTCTTTCTCCTTCTTCTTGATTCCTTATGCATGACTAGTTTTGTGGTCTTGAGGACAGGCACTCTCACATCTACCATCTGGAATAAAACAGCACCTAGAAATCAACTATAACAGCCACAAAGTCAGTCAAACAAAACAAGCATGGCCTGACATTATTAAGCAAACAAGACAATCCCTAGAACACACAACATTACTCATATAAATGCCCATCTTTGCCAACTTAAAATTTCAGGAACTTTTCCCAGGTTGGATTGTGATCTTGGCAACTTTTTCTCCCAAGTAGAAGGTGAAGTTCTCTGATCTCCCTCTTAACTTTTTCCTGCTGTTTTCTCTCACAACAATCTTTCTGGGGTTCCGTAGAAAACCCTCAAGACATGGAGGTAATCTTTAGTTTCACTCAAGGTTCTGCCCCCATTTTTATGGAAGAGAAGTTGCTTCACAGTGAGAATAAAGTGGAACACATTCCTTTCGTCTGTTTTGTGCATGAACTTATACAAAAACTACATAGCTTTTCTCATCTACAGTTGCAAGATATATTTGGGTATCTGTTTTGATTCTCCTAATCTCTCGGGAATGTGTGTATATCTCCCTTGATTGTGATATCCTTAATTTTTCCTAATTGATTGTAATTAGTGTCATAATACCTTGTTTCATCTTGTAAAGCATATAAATACCCATGTACTCTTCATTATACAATTCTCTCTTTTGCATATTCTTATTTAAATCGCTGTGGATTTGATTGAGCTAGTGGCTTTGCAGAGATGGAACCCACTGCGAAAGTAGTCTCCTGTGGTCCATCAGGGTTGTTGCAGAGTGATGAACTATACAATGTTAAGTCTCTGTTTTTTTTTCCTTTGTTTGAACCAATTTTTTCTGTTGAATGAAGATGCTATAATTGTTTGAGAGTTCCCTGAGTTACTGTATTGTCATGGCAGTATGTGCTGACGACTAGTGTGTACCCCAGAGAGGAAGAGATTCTGAAGGAGCTCAGAGAAGCTATTGCAAACCATCCACAGTAAATTCTATTCAACATTCTTTGCTCAATGCCACATGCACTTTTAGTGATCTCCTTAGAATATGAGCAAAAGTACACTAGAAGTGCCATAACTTGTGTACGGCGATCACTTTGGTGCCATAACTTTTTTTCGGATCACTTTGGTACCAAGTTGGAGGAAAATCGATCACTTTAGTGACTCCGACCAAAAAGCTGACCTGGCATTTATATTAAAAAAAAATGATCTGACTTGTACACGGTGAAAATTACGTGGCTTTTTTTCGAATTTTTAAATTTTTTTTTAAAAAAAAGTTGCAGCAGCGGCGAGGGAGCCCTCGCCGCTGCTGCCGCCAACCCACCACCGCCGGGAAGGGCCGGTGGTGGTGGGCGCAGTGGTCGGCGAGGGTTGCCGGCCCCTGGTCGGGGCCCGGCGACCCTCGCTGAGCCCAGGGAGGGCCGGATTCGGCGACCCTCGTCGAGCCCAGCGAGGGCCGGATTCGGCGAGGTGAGATCTCGCCGTCGCGACCTAGGCGACGGCCAGGTCGGCCTCGCCTCGCCCAACAAAGGCTAGGCCAGACCTCGCCGTCGCCTGGGTCGCGACGGCGAGGTCTCGCCTCGCCGGATCCGGCCCTCGTCGACCACTGCGCCCACCACCACCGGCCCTTCCCGACGGTGGTGGGTTGGCGGCAGCAGCGGCGAGGGCTTCCTCGCTGCTGTTGCAGGTTTTTATTTTTTTTTTAATATAATATAATTTTTTTTAAAAAAGTACACGTCAGCTGGCTAAACGGCGTCGTTTTTGGTTTTTAATGCTGACTGGACCTCTCCGGCAAGCCGTGTCAGCGACACATCGGATTTCCGGCGAGCCACGTCAGCATTGGCACTAAAGTGATCGATTTTCAAAAAAGTTGGCACCAAAGTGATCCGAAAAAAAGTTATGGCACCAAAGTGATCGCCGTACACAAGTTATGGCACTTCTAGTGTACTTTTGCCTTAGAATATGCCTTCAAATTTATTTTGCTTCAATAAAGTGTATGAACATAATCTATCACTCGCTTTTGGAGCCGGTTTTTCACGTCACGGCGATGATAAAATTGAGTAAATCTGGTGGCACCATGGAATTCAATGATCGAAAGCGGTTATCCATATAGTAAAACCGAAGTGTGTCTTAAGTTTTTATGTTCACTGTTGGTGGAATTATTGCTGAACAGGTCCTACCTTGCAACTGCACCGGATGGGGGTCAGTTCATCGCTCTGCTCCTTAAGCTATTGAATGCAAAGAAGACTATAGAGGTCGGCGTCTTCACTGGATACTCTCTCCTGCTCACAGCTCTCACGATTCCGCACGATGGCAAGGTGGTTCTGTCTTTCGCTTGAAAAATGGAAAATTTTGCAAGTCTGTTCGTCAAGCTAGTATTACTCTGCACGTTTTTCTTTTGCTGTTTCATATTGATCAATTCAAATTTTTCCACTGCAGATCATAGCGATCGACGTAGACCGAGAAGCATACGAGATCGGATTACCGTTTATCAAGAAAGCCAACGTCGAACACAAGATCGACTTCATTGAATCGCAAGCTTTGCCTGTCCTCGATAAATTATTAGAAAATGTGAGTGCAACTTCTCTAGAAAAGTAATCCTCATTTGAACTAGTGCAATAAAAATAGAATCTTGTGAGCTTAATTAGGCTCTCAACAATCTCATCCGGCTTCGCTTATGCATGTCAGCGAGAAAATGAAAGCAGCTTCGTCTTTGCATATGTCGATGCTGACCGGGCAAACCTGAAGAACTATCACGAGAGGCTGCTGATGCTGGCGAGGGTCGGGGGCGTGATCGTGTACGATAACACTCTCTGGGGAGGCACCGTCGCCTTGGCCGGCCCGTCCTCCGCTCACCCAATAAGGCAATTCGCGTGGAAGGACACGATCGAGTTCAACAAGATGATAGCGGGCGATCTTCGGGTCGATATATCTCAAGTAGCGTTGGGCAATGGGATGACGATTTGCAGGCGCATCTGTTGATGCCTTTTGATCACACTTATGGCATAGATCAAAATAGTACTTGTTCCTCACTCTTTCGAGGTTTGAGCATAATAACTTCTAATACAAATTGTGAGGCTGTTGTTTTATGATCTTTTGAGTACTTTCAATAAACTTCGGAGGACTGTTCCTGTCAATCTTTAATCTACACCACCTAGTACTAGTGTTACGAATAATCTTGTTTGATCGTTCCGTTCGACACAATACTTCGCTAGGTCAACATTGTTGTGGACAAAGGATAAACACATCACAGGTGCCGGAACGAGTACTCAACAATTTCTTTAATCTACACCACCTAGTCCTGGTGTTAGGAATAATCCCGTTTGACATGTTACTTCGCTAGGTCAACTTTGTTGTGGACGAGAAATAATAACACCACAAGTGTCTTGACTTTCGTATAAAGCTCACTTAAATGCCATAACTTTATTTTCGATCAAATGCGTGTCATAATTTATATACGGTAATCACTTGAGTGTCATAAAAGTTATGACATTTGTGATGTTGTTACCCTATGGACGACGAGAAGTCTACAAACAAGTCCCTGGAAAAGTCATTGAATGTGCGTGTGCGCATAAAAACTGCTAATGAGTCGTGTGATGAGCCATATGTAGAGAGAGACTTGTATGACTTTGACAACGAAAAGTAAATGGTTCCATTTGGCTGAAAAGTGTATGATAAAACTCCTTTAGAAATGTGGATTGATATGGAAATCAATAAAAGGATGTACATGATTCTTTGTTGATTTTTGGACAGGAATGGTGGACTGACGAGAAAATTAAAGGTATAAAGACCGGAGGCAATCACGACCAACCATGTGAAATAATAGTGGAATGTAAAGATAATAGGGAGATGAAATTGAACAACTAATGTTTACTAATGGATTACCGGTCCCTTGCTCGAATTACAATCCTAATATTTATAGCTACTAGAGATCGTTAACAACAATTCTAAAGAGAAAAAAATATAATCCTATGTTACTCCTAAAATTTAGCAACATGTATTTACAAATGTTACAAAAAACCCACTACTCCACGATGGTGGCCTCATCACTTGCCCCACATAGACGGTAGCTTTTGTAGCTTACAACCTCTTCCTAACGATCATAACATCCCTTGTTTGTCGGCCATTGTCATTTATGGCTTTCGAGATATACGGTTCTACGAACTGGTGATCATGTTGGCTTCACGATTGAACGGGTCATTATGATTGTAGTCGAAATTGTTGGTTTTATGACTTGAACACTTATCTCGCTCTTGATTCATCGATCTTCACTTCGACTTTGGCTCTTTTGTTGACCGAACCAAGTTTCACTTACAGACGCTTCGTGGCTCAATACTTAGCAAAGTTCTGTTATTTCACCCGTTGCCAACTCTTCATCGCCTTTTTCGAGTTTCCTATAATAATCGACCGACTGAATGGACTTAACAAATTTTACTTCAACCATGTCTTGCTCGGTCTTATCCAATCCGATTCCATAGTCAAGGACTTGGGCATTTTTTGGTGTCAACAGGTTCACAGCTTTTCCAAAAAGTTGCGGCAATAATTTTTTTGACAAAAATAATTTTCTTCGTACCCAATTCTTCGAGTCACATTAACGAGTCTCATTTAGAGAATAATCCATTTTTTTCCGAAAATCCTTATTACCCGTGTTTACGAAAATGATATTTTGGTTTTGCAAAAATCGAAAACTATTCTTAATCGACAATCTTTCTATTTGGCGTCTCCTTTTCAACTCTTCTCCACCTCCTCCTATATCCCTTATGCATGTGACACAGCCTAAGGGAGCAAAGGACTCCGAGCCCGTCCATGAACGAGACATGACCCCTTACGTGCATGGGACGTGGCTCATTCGTGCATGGGACGTGGCACATTCGTGCATGGGACGTGGCTCATCCGTGACTAGGCGCGAACATCATCCACGACCCTTCAGTTGCCTCTGACACACGACCCTACAGCGAAAATGAAGCGGACTAACGGGAGCGGCTGGCCGGAGTGAGGTGCGATGGCTGGGGGGATTGGCAGGACTGACGGCGACTCGAGCGGATGACCGGCAAACGTACCAAGCCCTGCTCTTTTTGGGTTCACCCTCCAACCCTCTCGGTCCCTCTTCGTTTCCTTTCAAATCACCTTCTTTGTTTGTGATTCAATTTGAAAGAGAGGGTTCGGAAACATATTTATTCTGAATCGGAGGGAGAAATGCACTGGAGTACCTATGTGTAGCATGCACCTGAATTTACATATAGTAATGTCCATCTTTTACCAAAAACAAGCCATTTATGGATATTATCAGGGGGTTCGTGCAAATCCAGTGGAGTCAACAGCTGGGGCCCCTCTTAAGCTCTCCTCGGATCCTTCTGTTTTTTTTTGGCTTCCTGTTGCTCTTCATTCTTTTTTTTCAAATGATAACGAGGGATACTGTCATCAAATTACCAAAAAAACAGGAGTGTCTAAGCTAAAAGATAAGTGGAAAAAGCGTAACCTAAATTTTTTGACAAAATCGAAAAAGTCTAAATTTATAGATATTATTTTCTGGGACGATGTTTGCCAAAAACGGAACGAGTGATGTGTTAACGAAAGTCACAATTGGCTTGCTGACAATGATGCTTTTCAAGGTAGCGTAGTAAACCTGACATTTTTGGCGTCTCCTTTTCAACTCTTCTCCACCTCCTCCTATATTCCTTATGCATGTCTGGTTGTGTGGTCTTGCGATGGCGATTATATACAGAGGATCCGACAGATTCAGTCTCACGTTATCGTACTCAACTCAATGTCATACGAGGAAGGGAGTCCTGCATCAGTTGGAAACAAACACCAAAAAATGTCTAAATCAATGACAACATGATGGAAACCTTATGCCATCTTGAACAGGTTCAGTTCTTTTCCTTAGTGTCCAAACGAAATGGGGTCCTTACCACGGCCACAGAGTCAGTCAAACCATATCAACTGTAACACAATATTGTCCAGCCGGCAAAATTAACACCCAGATGACACAGAATTCGCCTGCTTTGGCCCTATCTTGGAAGAGAACTGCTTTTATAAGATGCCCATTTTCCACATTGAATTGCAGAAACTTTCCCAAGTTAGATTGTGACCTGGGAAGTTCTTTCTCCAAAGTAGAAGGTAAGGGCGCGCATGGAATCCATTCTGGAGTAGAAATTCTGCTCCAGAATGCATTCCGGAACAGAAATGCGTTTGTTAAAAAATTTCCGGAATGCATTCTGGAGCAATTTTTGCATTCTGGAATAAAAATGCGTTTGTTAAAAATACTTGATTCCAGAATGAGTTTTGGGCAAGAAAAAAAGAAGCTACTTTTTGTAGCTTCTCTCTTTCAAAATGCATTCTCCCTATTTTCTCTCTTTTTCTCACTAATTTTTTTTAAGAAAATGCATAAAAATTGAAAATTTTCAGAAAAATTCATAAAAATTTCTAGAAAATAAAAAAAAGTCAGATTTCGAGAAAATAGGAAATTTGGTGATTTTTTTTTTTAAAATATAAAAAAATCAAAAATTTCAAAACTTCATAGAATGGCTTAGAATACCTTTGGGCACCCACTTTGAGTGAAATTTAATTTTTTTGATATGCCCAAAAAAATCAAAAAATCAAAAATTTCAAAACTTCACAAAATAACTTAGAATACCTTTGGGCACCCACTTTGAATGAAATTTAATTTTTTTGAGGTGCCCAAAAAAATCAAAAATTTCAAAACTTCACAAAATGGATTAGAATACCTTTGGGCACCCACTTTGAGCGAAATTTAATTTTTTTGAGGTGCCCAAAAAAATCAAAAAATCAAAATTTTCAAAACTTCACAAAATGGCTTAGAATACCTTTGTGCACCCACTTTGAGTGAAATTTTTTTTTTTGAGGTGCCCAAAAAAATCAAAAACTAAAAATAGATTTCTGTTCCAGAAATCAATTTCTGGAGCAGAATTAGTCATGTTTTACCAAACAGATTTCTCCTCCAAAAATCAATTTCTGGCAAAAATTCCAGAAATCAATTTCTAGCAAGAATTTGATTTCTGGAGCAGAATGGTTACCATTCGCGCCCTAAGCTTCCGGTGTTCTTTCTCCAAAGTAGAAGGTAAGCTTTCGGTGAACATTGCTTGCTTTCGGTGAGCATTGCTCACTTTCGGTTTCGGTGAACATTGCTCACTTTCGGTGCCGGACATTTATGTCACGACGATGATAAAATTAAGAAAAATTTGCCATAATTATAGAATTCAATGATCGAAAGTTGTTGTCCATGTACTAAAACCAGAGAGTGTCGTAAGTTTGTATGTTCGGCGTCGGTGGAATTCTTCCGAACAGGTCCTACTTGGCAAGCTGCGTCGGATGGGAGTCGGCTCATCGCCTGCTCCTGAAGCTATTACACGCCAAGAAGACTATAGAGGTGGCGTCTTCACCGGATACTCTCTCCTCCTCACGGCTCTTACGATTCCGCACGATGGCAAGGTATGTCGTCTTTTGCTTTGAAAAAAGAAAAAAACTTGCTATTCTGTTTGTCAAGCTAGAATTAATCTGCACATTTTTCTCTTGCTGTTTCATATTGGTCAAATCAAATGTTTCTTGTGCAGATCATAACGATCCATATAGACAGAGAAGCATATGAGATCGGATTTTTGGTTTTGCAAAAATCGAAAACTATTCTTAATCGACAATCTTTCTATTTGGCGTCTCCTTTTCAACTCTTCTCCACCTCCTCCTATATTCCTTATGCATGTGACACGGCCCAAGGGAGCAAAGGACTCCGAGCCCGTCCATGAACGAGACATGACCCCTTACGTGCATGGGACGTGGCCCATTCGTGCATGGGACGTGGCTCATCTGTGACTAGGTGCGAATATCAACTCTTCTCCACCTCCTCCTATATTCCTTATGCATGTGACACGGCCCAAGGGAGCAAAGGACTCCGAGCCCGTCCATGAACGAGACATGATCCCTTCCGTGCATGGGACGTGGCCCATTCGTGCATGGGACGTGACACATTCGTGCATGGGACGTGGCCCATTCGTGCATGGGACGTGGCTCATCCGTGACTAGGCGCGAACATCATCCACGACCCTTCAGTTGCCTCTGACACACGACCCTATAGCGAAAATGAAGCGGAACACTTTCATCTGTATGCTGCATTCGCCAA